CCATTTCTGTCTTGCATCAGGGCTTGTGTGGGCCTCCCGCCCCAGAACCACATGCTCTTGGAGTACAAGACCCAACAGCCGTGGGGCTGTGCCAAGCACCCCTGCCCCACTTCCACACCAGTGTGGCCTGCTTCTCTCCAGAAGAAAGCCTCCCACATGAACGGCTTCTTGGGGGCCCCAGAAGACAATGGGCCGATGTTCCCCGGACTGGGCGTGGGGCACGCTCGCTGATGGGGACTGTTCCTTTTTTCCTGATCTGTCTTTCTTTCTTTTTTTGTACTGAGTAGGGTTAGGAAAGGAAGGAGTCACAGAATAACTTCCCCCTCCCCTTTTGAATGCCACTGAATCCAGCTGTGAATGTTCAAATCTGAAATAAATAAAGGTATGGAGAGAGGAATCGGGGGAGTTGTGTCAGTCATTGTGGGGCCCTGGGTGATTTGCAATTTTAAGTCCACAGGCATCAAAGGCGCAGGAGGGAAGCAGGTCTCTCTGCCCCACTGGAATCTCAGTTTCTCAGTGGAAGCACTCAAAGGCTTCTGAAACGAGCTTGAAGATGAAGAAGAAGAAGAAGAGATTGGATTTGTACCCTGCCCTTCACTCAGAGTGGCTTACAAACTCCTTTCCCTTCCCCTCTCCACAACAGACACCCTGTGAGGTAGGTGGGGCTGAGAGAACTCTGACAGAAACTGCTTTTTCAAGAACAGCTGTGCCAGAACTATGGCTTGCCCGAGGTCATGCAGCAGGTGTAAGTGGAGGAGTGGGGAATCAAGCCTGGTTGTCCTAGATTAGAGTCCATGCACTTAACCACTACACCAAACTGGCTCTCGCAGTTTGATAGCTTGCAGCCCACCTGGTGAAGCTGTGGGGCTTGCAGTGTCCTGTGCCAAAGTGGGGGGGGGCTGTCCTTCATGTGTGTGTGGGGTGGGGGGGAAACCATGGTGGACGCTGTTAGCTCGTCCCAATGCCAGAAAAGGTGGGCTTCTGATGTTACATTGGACAGATTGAAAACATCCCCGAAAAATTAAAAGCATGTATTGTATGTACAAGAACTGTAATGATATAGCTTACACATTGCGTTATGCTCACTTTTAAGCAGTTATGTAACCATTTGTTGTAACCATGTTATCGCTATTTACAAAAACCAATAAAAATATAAAATAATTTTAAAAAAGAAAGAGGCACAAACTTGCTCCCGCATTGCCAGTTGTGTGTGTGTGTGAGGGGAGCATCTGCTCCTTCTGTGCAGCTTTCAGCTCTGCCTCGTGCCAGCCCCAGTGGCTGCCACAAAGCCGGAGGTGAGATGGTTTGATCCTGCACAGGTGCTTGACCGGGGCTCCCAAGTACTTACCTTAATTCGGTGGGGGATGTATAGTTCTTCGCGGGACCATTCCCGTTTCCAGTCCCATTACCATCGAGTTTCCAGTCCCATTACCAGAGCATCGCCCAGCTACGTGCCTACATCACGTCTGGGCGACGGAATAGTGCAGCGCCTGTGTTCCAAGCAAGAATCTTTCGGCGGGGAAGCATGTGTCCCCCGCCGGATCGTAGGTAGGTACTTGGGAACCCTATGCTTGACAGCATTGGAACCCAGCTCCACTGCTTGGAGGTCAGGAGGAGAGGTGGAGGGGAGAGAGCTTGTTTCCCCTTCCCTCTGGCTTCAGCTTCGGCTTCAGGGAGTCCCACCAGGGATCTAGCAAAATGGCACACCGGCAGCACCTCAGGGTCGCGGCTGAGGCTTCCTGGGGAGCCCGAAGCATTTACCCCCAAGCCTTTGTTCATCTGACCCAGCCTTTTCCCCCTCGGTCCCCAGCTTCATCCCATTATTTTGTTTTTCTGCACATGGCTCCAGGCCAACAGAATATCTGATGAAATGTTGCCCTGCCTGTCCAGCGAGAGAGTTTTAAAAAAAGGGGGGGGGGAGTAAAATCTTTTACATAAACAAAGACTGGGCTGGGGACAGAGAAAAACCTTCAGCGGCCAGTGGTTCCCTGTTCTTCTTCTGGCACGCCACCCATATGGCTCTTTGAGGCATCATTCCTCGATGTGGCACCAGCCCCCCTGTGTCAGGAAAGTGAGGACCAATGTTCCCTCTAAGCTTAGTCAGTGTGAGCTCGCTCAGTTTTTTTAGCTTCCGGCTCGCACATTTTTGTCTCAGCTCAGGAAGGACAGCTCCGGAGCAAACAGATTTACGCAGTAGCCAAATTGCTCGCTCACAACTTTAGCTCACACAGTACGATTTTTGCTCACAAGACTCCACAGCTTAGAGGGAGCCTTGGTGAGGATGGCCTTCGCCTCATAGGGTTCGTGGTGGGCAGGTGATTCCCGCCTTGAAAGTTAGCTCCTGCCGCAGGGCCTGGAGGGACAGAGAAGCTGTAGGCCTCAAGCCCCAGGGGTTGGATGGCCTGGCCTCCCCACTGTCGTTGCAGCCTGTGTGCTCTCAACCCGGCAACCCAGTGGCTGTCAGGAGGGCAACCTGGCTACGGAGGAAAGAGAGTAAAATGGCACTGCAGCAGGGCCTACGGTTGCCAGGTTCCCCCTGGCTGATGGTGGGGTTGCCAGTTCCAGTCTGGGAAGCTCCTGGGGATTTGGGGGCAGAGCTGGGGACGGCAGAGACCTCAGCAGGGTAGAATGCCACAGAGTCCCACCCTCCAAGTATCCATTTTTCTCCAGGGGCTCTGTAGACTGGAGATAAGCTGCAATTCCCAGGGATCCCCAGGCCCCACCTGGAGGCTTGCATCCCTACAGGCAAGCCTCAAGAGGGAAAGCATTCCACAGACACAAGATGCCACCACTGAAAAGACCCTGTCCCTAGTTGCCATATCTCTCAACTTGCATGTGGGGGAAGAGCAGAGTGCAGGGCTTGTGGGGGCTGCACAATACAATAAAAGGTAAAGGTTTTCCTTGCTCAAAGGGCAGTCAAATCTGACTCTAGGGGGCAGTGCTCATCGCCGTTTCCAAGCTGAAGAGTCAGTGCTGTCCGAAGACATTGCCATGGTCATGTGGCCGGCATAACTAAACGCAGAGGCGCATGGAACACTGTTACCTTCCCACTGAAGTGGTACCTAGTTATCTACTCGCAATTTCTTGCTTTCGAACTGCTAGGTTGGCAGGAGCTGGGGCCAGAGACCAACGCTCACTCCGTCCCACAGCACTCGGGTCTCGAACTGCCGAAACAGACCTTCCTTTCTGCAACATAGCATCTTAACCTCTGAGCCACCGCGGCCTCTGCACAATACAGTAGCCCAGCCCTAAGGCCCTTAGGGCTTTAGAGTTAAGGATCAGCAGGATTGCACCTGGAAACACAAGGAGCTAGCAGATCACAGGCCTGATAAGGGGACCGGTGCAGACCTTTTCCCATCTCAAGCACAGGCGAGTGCCTGCGGGCCCGAGGAAGAATGCTCAGAAGTCTTCTGAAGAACACCCGCTTTGCACTTCTCTCTGTGGTATCCAGTTGAAACACACAATTGAAACAAAATACCGGAGTCCGAAGTGAAGCAGTATTGGACATACATTTCAGTGTGTCGGTGTGACTGGTTGCATTCCGTGCCATTCCCAGCACCCAGCTGCAGGGAACTTGGGCCGGTTTAGACAAAGGGCCTTTCTCCCCCACCCTCCTCGTGCACCCCTCTCCTACGTAACCTTGCTCCCAGCTGCCCCCAGGGCCAGAGGACTGAGACCCCCCCCAAGCCCCTCAGCCTGCCTGATCCGCTTCCTCCATGTTTCTTGCCCCTCCACCCAGCTCTTCAGCCCCGCTTGCAGACGCGGCACAAAGCGGGGCCTCTTCCAGCCTCCTTCCTTCTCCCTACAACCCCCCACAGCAGTCAGATGAACAGCCCCCCTCCCCCAGCACGGAAGTTTGGCCTTTTTGCGCAACATTCCCAGCACCCTCTGGAGTGCCCCCAAACCTGCCTCTCCACTTCTCCTATCTACAGAAGATCATCACAAACCCTGATGCAAGGCCCACGCATGCCAAGCATTGCTCTGAATCTGGTTCACACGACACCTCTGTGGAAGTCCTCCTCAAGCAGGACAGGGAACCCGCTGCGAATCTTCCAGGTAGACCATGTTTCCAGGTAGACCATGCTTCTCCTTGGGGAAGCTCTGTCTTTCGCTGTCACAACCAGCACCCCTCGGCTGACAGTCGGTGAGAGTCTCCGAGCCTTGTCTCAAACCGAAATGCAAGTGGCGCCCTGCTGCCTCCAACGACAGTGGCCGGCTAGGGTGAAGACCACAAGCTGTCGTCAGGCAGATGGCCTCCCCCCTGCCCCCAGTTGCTTGGCCTTTAATGGTAGACTGCCATTGTGTGCAGGAGCTCCACAGAACCATCGTCACCTCTCGCACTAGACTTTTTGGACTTGTGTAGTAACCTCTGGACAGAGCTGGGCACGGAGAGCCAAACCTGATCCTCACTGGATCATCTGGGATATTTTTAAATGTTAATGAATCCCACGGGGAGGGGACACTGAATCAGTGTGGGGGGGCTGTGGGACTAGGTGGTCACCAGGGGTCATTTCCTGCAGGAGCGCACAGGAGCGGAGCTCCGGCAGTAAAGAGCCCAGGGGGCGGGCACATGCCACAAGCCCCACCCCCTGCTCCCAGTATCCCTCAGTCAGAGCAAGAAGCAGCCAGGTAAGTTGCAGAGCCGGTCCCCCGGCCCAAAACAGTCCAGTGGCACCTTTAAGACCAAGTCTTATTCAGGTACAAGCTCTCCCTCCTCTGCGAGGACAGATCTGCACGTTCCCCCCTCCCCAATAGCTAGCAATCCAAAACAGTCCAGTGGAGCCTGAGCGGTTGGTGTTGCCTTCTGTCACACTTCTGGTGACGTCAAGGGGTGTGGCATTTGCAAATGAGTTATGGTAATGAGCTCCTGCACCTCTTTTTCTACGAGATGACCCCTGGTGGTCACTTTCTCCTTCATGCCCTGATTCCCCCCCCCCCAGGGGGAGGAGAAATGTACAGGCCCTGTCTGACTCTGTGTATGCTTTTCCCTGGGGAGAGTGGGGAGGGAGGAATTAATAGCAGGGGACCGAAGGACTCGTCTGTCCAGAACAACAAAAAAATACAGTGCTTACTTAAATGCCAAACAAATCCCAACCCCAGATGTGCCATTTAAAAACAGGAGGGGGGTGTCCTACATTTGCACACAAGTGACAATTATGTCCAGTAATAATTTTGGGGGTGGGGTAGAATGTATGTATTTATTTATTTATTTATTATCATCTTTGGCTTATAGCTCCCCCTCCCCTGTACAACAAGACTCAGGGCGAGTAACAATAGGTAGCAACAACAGTATTAAATCAATCAAATTAACCATTTAAAACCCAGTTTTCAACAACAGTTTATAATCAGCTGGCAGTGCATGGTTTGACACAAAACTGAATGCATCTTCTCTCAGGGAGACTGTAATTCAAGTGTGCCCAGGGATGCTAAGCTGGTGCTATAACAGACGGACAGCCAAAAACAAAGCCACAAAGCAGGGGGAGGCCAATACAGATGGAATTGCCACTGCCTCAATCACAGGCCTGGCAGGACATCTCCGTTTTAGGGGGTCAT